CCGGATTAACATAGGGGCTGATGGAGCTGCAGCTACAGGCCCATGGAATAGACCCATTGATTTTACTACTCTTCACATGCTCTTGCTTAAGTATGGATACTTAAAGGACCACTAAAGGCACCCACACCACTTTAGCTCAATGAAGTGGTCTGGGTGCCAGGTCCATCTAGGGTTAACCCTGCAGCTGTAAACATAGCGGTTTCAGAGAAACTGCTATGTTTACAATAGGGTTAATCCAGCCTCTAGTGGCTGTCTCATTGACAGCCAATAGAGGCGCTTCTGCACTTCTGTGAAAATGAGAAGTGAGAAGACGCTGACGTCCATTGGAAAGCATTGAGAAATGCTTTCTTATGGACTGATTGAATGCGTGCGCGGCTCTTGCCGCGCATGTGCATTCGGTTGATGACGTCGGAAGAGGGAGGAGAGTTCCCCAGCACCGAGGGAGCCCGGCGCTGGAGAAAGGTAAGAATTTAACCCCTTCCTCTCCATTCAGCCGGGCGGGAGTGGGACCCTGAGGGTGGGGGGACCTAAGGACCCTGTAGTGCCAGGAAAATGAGTTTGTTTTCCTGGCACTATAGTGGTCCTTTAAGAGGGATGTAGGGGGGACAAAACTTGTGTAGATTGGCTGACATTGAAATTAGTTAAGTTAAAGCTGACTTTGCGCACTATGCAAACACTCTTGTTACTTCAGTCTATCTAACACTGTGGCATACTCTCTTTCTTCTACACTCATTACATACACCTTTACTCTGTCCCAGACTATATACTAGGAAATTTTGCCTGCTATTAAGAAGGTTAGGAGAGGAGCGGACAAGTGAGTGCTAGGGGACAGTTCTTAGAAAGCGTGGAGCGAGGGCATCATTTACGCCAAGCTCATGGTGCTGTCTGCATAGTATGCCCATAGCAGGCCAGCATGATTGGCAGGCAGCTCGACATGCATTCATGCCAGGCTGACCATCTAATTCTTTGGGCAGACACGCCTCCTTTTTGGGCATTTTCGTACCTTAGGGCGGTTCTGTTTACGTGATTCACATCACCAGACGCCCACCGACATCATGCTTCACTGGACACTGCTGTTAGGGGGTATGGATTTATTTAAAAGATGAAAGCAAGAAATTAGCATAGGGTATGTGTTTTCATATAGCTGTATCCTGTGAGTTTCCCTCCAGCACCACCTCCACTAGATACATGATGCATGGGAGGTATGATTGTTTTAGTGTTTTCAGTCGATAAGATTCCGCCTATCATAATTGTCAGCACTAGGCTCAATGGACTCTTAATCTGGCCCTGGGTGGAGGTGGAGAATCTGCCCCCTTTGTGTGTGGTGCTGGTCCGGATTGCAGCTTAACTGGAGATGGAAAGAACCGCTGTACCACTGTTATACAGAGTGAACACGCTAACCCCCTTCCTGACTGGGGTCAAGGATACCCCCAAATTCTTTAATTCTTTATTCACCTCAAAGTCTGGCCTCCAGCAACACAACATTCAAAGGAAGGCTCCATCACACTAAACTGCGGCGGCCTTAAAGACACACATTACTGGGATAGGACTTATATCCTAGCCCTGCAGCACAGTGTGAGGGAGCAAGGAGAGAAATGGAAATGAGCAACGAAATTCTCTCACTCAGTAAGCACAGGTGAGAAAAAGGAACCATAGTTCTCCTGAACTCACTGTAACTCTGAGTGTTAGCACTGCAAGCACTGTGCATAACGTGTTAGTGCATGCCTGGGGGACAATAAATGCAGTTTGGAGTGTGGACAATATGTTCTCATGTTTCCTGACTTCCCTCAAGTCCCTCGGGCTGCATTCATGAGCCTAGCGGACTGAATCTGGCCCAAGGGCTTTACATTTGACACCCTGGATCTAGGTACAAGCACATGATTATGAATGCCTCTAAGGGATTGGACAGCTCACGCAGTACGAAATATTTTTTAACCCATCATTTAACCTTCCATGGAATGCAGTGACCAAAAAACCCACATTCCACATGGAATAGAGAGCCAGTGTTCTGAATTCTATTGCATACTGCATTGAAATTAATTAACACATTCTATAATTAATCCACATAAACAATTTCTAAAAAATAAATACACAACAAAATCAAAGAGACAACTGTTTTCCACTTTGATTTTTAAGTTCTGAGAACAATAAACATATTATTTTTTTAATGTTTGGGGTGTGTCTGTGTGTGCCGTATACTGTGCCTTTGCAATATCCCTTCCCAGGACAATGAAGCTGCAATTAAACGTAACCTGTTATGGAAAAATGTACTTACCTGAAATCGCTCCCATATATCACAAAGATGCAAAATGTACTCAATGTAAAATAGAAAGATTTACTCACTTTTCTTGCATTCTGCTTCACGGGTATTGGAGGGCATCCTCTGCTCCGCCTGTGATAGTCCTGCAATGTCACATTTCACCAGTGTTCCGGAGTCGGAACGGAGTGACAACACATCACTCCAATCCTATACTCCCTATACTGTGCTAGAGGTAGATGGAGTCTAGCCGTTTCCACAACATGCGCTCTGGTTGCTATGGGTGGAGAGCAGAAGGACCTCCTGTGGAAGGTCTTTTTGTCTTTTCTGCTCTCCTTTGTCAGTCTATGCAACTTGTTTAAACTAGAATATATGTAACTTTGTGCGATACCACAACTAGGCATTATTATTATTATTTGTATTTATATAGCGCCAACTAATTCCGCAGCGCCTTACAATATTATGCATTACTTATAATAGATGAATTGTAGCGATAACAACAACAACAAAGTATATAACCAGGAAAGGTACATTCATATTACTCTGGTTTCCAAGTACGTCCTGGTGATGTTACCTTAGCCCAACATCCAGGGGTTGTTACTATCATGTGAAATGTGCAGTATTACAGAGTAGTTACTATTTGTACAAGTTGTATATGACAGGGTAGATTTTATGTTCCTTGATATACTGGTATTGAGTGACGGAAGGCGAGAACACACTTTTTTATTAACTGGTCATCGTATATACACTGCTCAAAAAAATAAAGGGAACACTTAAACAACACAATGTAACTCCAAGTCAATCACACTGCTGTAAAATCAAACTGTCCACTTAGGAAGCAACACTGAGTGACAATCAATTTCACATGCTGTTGTGCAAATGGGATAGACAACAGGTGGAAATTATAGGCAATTAGCAAGACACCCCCAATAAAGGAGTGGTTCTGCAGGTGGTGACCACAGACCACTTCTCAGTTCCTATGCTTCCTGACTGATGTTTTGGTCGCTTTTGAATGCTGGCAGTGCTTTCACTCTAGTGGTAGCATGAGACGGAGTCTACAACCCACACAAGTGGCTCAGGTAGTGCAGCTCATCCAGGATGGCACATCAATGCGAGTTGTGGCAAGAAGGTTTACTGTGTATGTCAGCGTAGTGTCCAGAGCATGGAGGCACTACCAGGAGACAGGCCAGTACATCAGGAGACGTGAAGGAGGGCAACAACCCAGCAGCAGGACCGCTACCTCCGCCTTTGTGCAAGGAGGAACAGGAGGAGCACTGCCAGAGCCCTGCAAAATGACCTCCAGCAGGCCACAAACTTGCATGTGTCTGCTCAAACGGTCAGAAACAGACTCCATGAGGGTGGTATGAGGGCCTGACGTCCACAGGTGGGGGTTGTGCTTACAGCCCAACACCGTGCAGGACGTTTGGCATTTGCCAGAGAACACCAAGATTGGAAAATGCGCCACTGGCGTTTTGTGCTCTTCACAGATGAAAGCAGGTTCACACTGAGCACATGTGACAGACGTGACAGAGTCTAGAGATGCCGTGGAGAACGTTCTGCTGCCTTCAACATCCTCCAGCATGACCGGTTTGGCAGTGGGTCAGTAATGGTGTGGGGTGGTATTTCTTTGGGGGGCCGCACAGCCCTCCATGTGCTCACCAGAGGTAGCCTGACTGCCATTAGGTACCAAGATGAGATCCTCAGACCCCTTGTGAGACCATATGCTGGTGCGGTTGGCCTTGGGTTCCTCCTAATGCAAGACAATGCTAGACCTCATGTGGCTGGAGTGTGTCAGCAGTTCCTGCAAGATGAAGGCATTGATGCTATGGACTGGCCCGCCCGTTTCCCAGACCTTAATCCAATTGAGCACCTCTGGGACATCAGGTCTTGCTCCATCCACCAATGTCACGTTGCACCACAGACTGTCCAGGAGTTGGCAGATGCTTTAGTCCAGGTCTGGGAGGAGATCCCTCAGGAGACCATCCACCACCTCATCAGGAGAATGCACAGGCATTGTAGGGAGGTGATACAGGCACGTGGAAGCCACACACACTACTGAGCCTCATTTTGACTTGTTGCTCAGCCTGTAGTGTGTTTTTCCACTTTAATTTTGAGTGTGACTCCAAATCCAGACCTCCATGGGTTGAAAATTTTGATTTCCATTTTTAAATTTTTGTGTGATTTTTGTTGTCAGCACATTCAACTATGTAAAGAACAAAGTATTTCAGAAGAATATTTAATTAATTCAGATCTAGGATGTGTTATTTTTGTGTTCCCTTTATTTGAGCAGTGTATATATAATTGTATAGTAAGTTTTAAATCGGTAATATTAAGTTAGGTTTTATTATAGGTTGCTAGTCTCCTCATCTTTGTCCAGATAATTCACAATTTAGTGAATAAAAAAAAAAAAAAATGTTTTAGGCCAAAATAGTACAAAATAAAAAATAAATCTCCAAGTATGTTTTAATTTCAATTATTTTGTACTAACATTGGAAGTTCACTTACAATTCCTGACAATTCACACTTTTATTGAGTAAGCCAATTAGAGTAAAAAAAAAAAAAAAGACCTAATTCCTGAGCACTGACAAGTGACCACATGAACAAGTATGTGCCCAATGGATGATTCCTCTACCAACATGACAGCTCAAGACATAACTGTTTATCACGTGACGCATCTGGCTTAGCCCCGCCCTCATGCGTTTCTGATTGGCTGCTACGCCTATGGGAACAAGACTTTCCCCTACCAAGATGGCGGACATGTCCTAACCAGCTTCTCATTGGTCCGCAGGCTTGCAGGCCCACGCCTCTTTCCCCACTAGGTTGTTCTCTGATTGGTTCCGGTCCCGGCCCGGTTAGGATGACTTCCGGCGAGGCGGGTTGTCACGGCAGTGACAGTGATTGAAGACACCGAGAAAGCGAAGGGGAACTAACGGAAGCGCCGCCATTCCTCCCCCCCCTTTCCCGACCTTCTCTACCGGAACCGGAAACCAGCTCTGCTAGGCCTCCAGGGAGGCGGAAGCTGACCCCTGACCTGCTAGGTGTGGCCCCCCCCAGCCCTGATAAACCCCATGCTGGCTGTAACTGTCTCCACTCCTCCATCTCTGGCCCCTGGGGGCCAATAATGCATTAACTGGTCATATCAGCTAATGTCCCTTTAAATACCCCCCCAATTTATTCACATTTATTAAACACATTAGGAGCTGGCAGCATCTTCTCTATAGAGCCCCCCCAATTAATTTATAATATATAGAGAGATATTCACATCTGCTAATATCCCCCCTAACACCCCCTCCCCAGATTATCACTCCAATATTTTATTCCCTCCTATACTTGGTCATAGGATCTACCTGTATCTTGTCTGGATTGTTTACCTACCCCTCCAGAGTCCCTTTTTAAATTATATTTTATATTGCTGTAGATTCATATCTGCCAATAATATATTGATGCCAACATCTTCCAATTTTCATTTTAATAGCATTGTATGCTATTTCACTTTTTATAGTACACCCCATATGAGACCCATATTCCCTCCTGCTCCCCTTAGTTTCAATTCAGGTATGGGGAGGCCTTTATAGCAGGCATTTTGTTTGGGGGCAGTTTAGGGAAACTTATTATTTATTTGCTCCTTTCAAGGGGTAATAAAATTACAGAGAGGGGAGTTTTCTTGGATTTTTTTTTTTTTTTTTAAATTTTATTTACAAAGTGACCTCATTTTTAATATCGCTCATTGATAAGATCTCTCATTGTAGGCATATCTGTTACATATGCATTTTTTTTTGAATTTTTTTTTTTTTAGTACGAGTTATTTCAACAAATTTAAAGTAGTGGGTGTCTAAAACTAGAATTTTGCTTACCATTGCTGGGGTGAGTAAGGGAGACAGGCTGCTTCTTTTGCCTATTACTTACATGGGGGTTAAGTATCTCAGCAGCTTGGCTGTGTGACATGACCCTGGGACAGAACAGTGGCACAAAGTGACCAGGAGGCAGCCGTGCCAAAACATGGTGAGTTATAAAGTGTTTTTCTTGCAATGTTACTTGTAATGGCATTTCAGTGACTGGTAGCATCCGTTAAATAGGTGCAAAACAGTTTGTTTATAACAGGATGACCATTTTACAGTGGAGAGGGCCGTACAGCTTTTTTCAGGTAACACACTCTTAACAAATACAAAAAAAAGAGGAAACTTCCTCCTGCAGGTACGAAATTAATTTTCTGCCATTTTTATAGTTTGACTATTTAAGCCTAAATTTTGCAAGTCCCGTTAATAAACCAGTAAGTGAATTGTGTATAATAGCCCTGTACCTTTAAGGTACAATTACTGGGTCAATCAGTGCATGTTTCTGGGGTCAGGAGTGCATTCTTAATGACCAATAACTGTAAATTTGACTTATTGTTTTAATTCAAGTTTTGTATTGCAGGCTTTATTGTAAGTGTTCTTTTGGGTTTGAAATCAATGTTTTTAAAACAAATAATATTTACCATCGGTCTGTCTACAGGCATCTGAGGAGGCTTCGTTGCGAGCTCTGGAGAGTCTGATGAGTGAATTTTTTCACACTGGCACGACCAATGAGCGTAAAAGAGAAATAGGTGAGTGAAGCAGAAGCACAAGTAGTAGAAATGGGGGCTCTTGCAGAGTTGGCATACCTGAAACTATAGGAAAACTGCGAGCATTAACATGAAACTTGGTGTGACTGAACCCATATGCATTCTAGAATCTGTTGGTGTTAGGAGCACCTTGTCAAGCTTTGATCTAGTGTTTTTTTGTTTTTGTTTTTAAACAAAATCTGATTGTTGGCAATAATGGTAGAAGGGCCTCTGGAACTATACTAAAACTTGTCTTGTGGACATGCCTTGCGGACAGGAAGGATTTTACGCTGTTAGATATGCCTGAATTTATAGATAAGCAGTTATAAAACCTTGCTTGCTTACTGCACCATTACAGCGAGCTGTATTATTTATGGTGCTTAGTGTTCCTTAATTGAACACTCAATGCTCTATATCCACCTCAGTGTTCTGGTCCTCCCCCAGTGTTTTTAGAACGGTTTGACATCTTGCCTTGCTTTTGCTGGGAGCCACTACCTCTGTCAGAGAGCTAAACCCAACAGTGCGGTGCTTGGCTAATTAGCTGAGAGTAGTCTGCTGACCCTCTCAGTCAAGGGGTAGCCAATGGAAGTTCCTAAATAGAAGCTTCTGGTTATTTGGCTGAGATTGTGCAGGCGGGGAGCAGCTCCTGGCAAATCCAAGGTGATCAAAACACTCTAAAATGGTTTAGCACCTTACACCGGGGCACTCTTGGAACCATAACCACTACAGCTTGCTGTAGTGGTTATGTTGAGTTTCATATTTCTTTTTATGGGTGCCAAAAGTGATCCGGTGGTGCAAATACAGCAAGCTTGTTTCTGTTAAGATCCGGATGTCTAAAAGCTCATGTAAGTCAGTATTTTGTGTGTGTGTGTGTATATATATATATATATATATATATATATATATATATATATATATATATATATATATATATATATATATATATATATAATATATATATTTTTTTTTTTCTTTCAATACTTAAATAATTTGTGGTCTTTTTTTAATTCTTCACCTTTTGTCCATTTACCGATGTCATCGCAGGCCTTGGCATCTGCTTTCTCTACATACCGTATGTTGAATTCATGACTCATCACTTTTTTGTGTTGCTCACCGTGGGCTGTAACAGTTGTAGGCAGTGGGCATTTTCTTGCTTGTTAAAAAAAAAAAACACCTTTTGTATAACCTTCAGCACAATGATGAAGCAACTGATTGTCTTCTGATGTTCTGTCCATTCACTTGTTATTGGCTGAAGGCAGCGTTTTGTTGTTGCTTCTAAAGAGAAAAGGCTAAAAATATATATGTCAGCCATTCAAACTTGCCCAAATCCTACTTCAGTTTGCACTCTTTCAATTTTGCATCTTCTTAAAGGAATGATCATGGCAAAAGCAAAACGTTTGTGCATTTGTTTTTTTGGTTCATATTTATGCAATATTTCTCCCTGTACAAATCTCCTTAGTTTTGCAAAAACCTTGCCCCATAGTCAGATTCTCTTTTTTAATGATTGAAAGGTAAGCAGCTTATCTCAGCCAATGAAAGATCAGTTGAACTGCTGGCTTCACCCTACCCCAGAGCCAATCACTGTCCAGTGGAGTGATGTCAGCAACATGGCGCACACTGATCTCTCACTAGCAGGGTATGTACCCAGAGTACATCTAATAAGGAAGTTGATTTGTGAAAAGAGGAGCCATTGCTAAGGGGGTGGAGTTGAATGTAGAATCATATGTATTTTGTTGTTTTTAGTAAAAGAAAAATGAATGTGGGGAAAAATGCAGTATAAAGATGAGTAGAAAGTTACTGATATTTGGAAGTGTGCTTTTAAGGGGACACAATGCGCTTCACAAGCCCATATGTCCCTTGGATAAGTTTTATATTGCTTGGAGTTTCCGGTACCCCTATCCTTGATCCAGCTGCTTATCAGTGCAGCTCCATTCCCACCTACCTCTACATTGTAACTTCACTTGGGGAGCCCGCCCTTGTACTGCTATTCAAAGCTTTTGCAAAGGTTACAGACTCCCTTGTTTCTCTCTGTGAGAGCCTTTGTAGCAGCTATAAGCATACACAGCTGTAACTAAGTTGTCATTAGCAGTGGCATTTGTTAGCTTGCCAAGTACTTTTTCGTAGGTTGTTTGTCGTGATTCTATTTGTTTTTCACTTAAAAAAAAAAAAAAAAGGGGTAGTTTCCCACAATTGTCACTGACAGCTGTAGGGGAATGTTCTATGGAGGGTCTCGCTGGATCTTCCCTAGACCTCCGTGTTGTACCCTCGTGCATGCACGAGAACAACACTACAACGGGCTCCTGACCGATAAAACATCAGGAGCTGAAGAGAACCAGCAGGGAGACTATGGCAGCAGCCCTGATGGACCGGTTCACGTAAGTAAAACTCACCTTACTTTTGCACCCTATGGTCACTATGGGGATCTTTAAAAACCGAGACAAATATTTAACAAATTAGAGAAAAAAACCTCTGTGTATTTATTGGTAACAAAGAAATTACATAGGTCTGTGTCTGTGCCCAAAAACATGGCACTGCCAGCAATGACCGAAAACAATCCTGTTCGCTGTAGTAAATCTATAGTAAGTTATTTTTGCTTATCAGAGTATCTGCCATCTTGTACGCATGTTCACACCATCTTTCCTCCTTGTTCACACTGTCTCTCTCTTTCCTCCTTGTTCAGAGTCGCTCCTGAATAACTTTGCTCAGCAACTTGGAGCATGGAGGTTCTGTTTCTATTTCCTGTCCAGCTCACACAGTGACTATGTCTTAATGTACAGCCTCAGCGTTTTTGAGGTAAGTGATTCCATTTCGGACAGCCCAGAAGCTACTCATTCCATTTAAGCACTTTTTGGACTATTTGACAACTGCTTTTTGTATTTTTTTTATATATATATACGTCTTGGCAGTTGGGGTTGTAAATGTTGCCTGTCTTTTTGTTAAATTCTAAAAACTTCATAGCTTAGCGTTGGAATTGGCAGCCATGAGATTAGTCACATGGTTTATCTGGGTAAGTCATGTATTAATGTTGTGATAAGTGCCATTGCTGGATCTCACTCTCGGTGCACAGTCAGGGCTCAGGGCCTGTATAAAGTTTCCAGAATTTAGTATATATTGTTTTTTATTTATTTATTTATTTATTTGTGTTCTTTTAGAACCTGATCAATAAGATGTGGTTGGGGGTTCCTTCCGAGGAGAAGATGGAGATCCGTAGCTCCCTGCCCAAACTTCTGCTTGCTCAGCACAAAACTCTTCCCAGCTTCATCTGCAACAAGCTGTGCAAGGTGATTGTGGACATGGGAAGGCAGGACTGGCCCATGTTCTACCATGACTTTTTCACCAACATTTTGCAGGTGAGCTTTGACAGTGGAATGACAAGAGTGGGCCAGTTATCTCTGCAACCCTTCTTTACTCTCTCTGTCTCTGAACATGTACAGCTTATCCAGACACCCAGCACTGCCCCTCTTGGACTCATCATGCTGAAAACTGCATCTGAGGAATTGGCCTGTCCCAGAGAGGACCTCAGTGTGACCAGGAAAGAAGAGCTGCGAAAACTATTACTAGAGCAAGTGCCAACTGTTCTCGGGCTTCTTACAGGTAACCACATGGGACCTTGGCTGGGCTCAGTTACACTATATTGGCCATATTGTGTTAAGCCCACCACTACATCACAGTATCCCAATATTGGTGGGTCTCACACTAATGTTAGCATGGGAGATTAACATGCTAACTGCAATATGTACTGCTTAAACTGCTTCCAAATGCTCTCTCAATCTGTATTTTCATGTAGTCCCCTCCAAAGGGGCACCCATAGTGGATAGATGGGCTACTCGACCCAATAGGAATATGGTCTGGATTCCAAATCTACACAGGAAAATGGGGGTTGCATATGGTGTAACTGAATCCCCATTGTTGTTTGCTAAGACAGGTTATTTTAAGTAGCTTTGTAAAATGTAAAACAGATTTATTTAAATGTTTTGCTTTTTTTTTGTGTGTGTGTGTGTGCACTGTTCTCTAATCTGTGTTTTGTATATATTTTGGTCTTTACGGCAGCACCACTATTCAGAAATGTATCTTCTGAGAGTTTACCCCAATTCACCTTTTTACCTTGGCTGGGCTCTGTCACGAATCTTTGTGTGTTAACAGAGGAAAAAGAAAACACAAACTCTGCAACTCCTTACTGACAATGTTTGTTTATTATACCATCTGCGATGTAGACCCAACAATGCCCCCTGTTAACTGACATCTTGATAGTCACTTCATTGAGGGTGGAAAGAATGCTAAATCTTTGGGGTGGATCAACCGGAATCATGATCACTATTACCCTAATTTTAATTTCTCTTCCTTTCCTTTACATGTGGCTTCATTCACTGTAAATTAATTTATTTCCCCCCCCCACAGGTGTCCTGGAGAGTATTTGGGATAAGCACAGCGTTACTGCGGCAACTCCCCCTCCCTCTCCCACTGCATCAGATGCTGGTGAGCTGGCTGTTAAATGCCGCATTAACACAGGCATATAACATATATAAATAAAAAAGAAATGATGGCTCCTAACACTTATTGCATGAGTTCATTTAAAAATCACATTGCTGCTGTTCTTGTTTTCCTTCCTGCTTTTTAATAAAGGCTTCTTCTCTTTTGTTTCTCTGTCACTGTGTGTACTTTTGGTAGTGTGACCTAGCCTGAGAAATGTAACTTCATGCTTGTATTCATTCGATCCAACCAACAATTATCATATAGCCATTTTTTAATATTTTAATTATTTTCCAGTTGTCTGTAAACTGACTTTCTTTGAGCGTGTAATGTAGTTTTTGTGTTTTCAAGTTTCTTTTTCTATGTGTGTGCTGTCTAATGCATGTCTTCCTGTGTGATGCTTGAAGACATGCTGCGTATGTCATTTCGTCTTTAGATAAGTGTGTATGTTGCATACTTCCTTCCTGTCAGAAAGAGCTTATGGTTTCTTTTTTGCAACACAGCTGAATGTCTTCATTGTCTGGGGTGCATGCAATGTGGCTTGATCTATGGCCAGAAAAAGGGTTAAAGTGGATATATCTCTCAAATACATCTACGTTCACACAGCATTTTAATGTTTTAACCTTTTGCTTCCAGGACAGTTTGTTAAAGCACGATTTGTCAGGAAATAAAACTTTTTAGTCCAGGGTTGGACGTATTATCCAGCTTAACTATTCTGGCCTTTTGAAATCTTTGACTTCTCACAATTCAAGATTTAGTGAACATCCCTACTTTAAATGCTCTTTCACATGTTAAAAAGCAAAGAATAAAATCCTTATCTCAAAAGGGAAAGATGTCCTAATGAGAGTATTCAAACTGCTCTGTTTCTTTTCTCGGTTTTGGCACATTTTGCTATGACCCATGTAACCTGACATGAGTGGTCTGCGAAGGCCATGGGAATATACTTTATCTGAAGTTCAGCGTGTTGGATACTGCGATCTGTCACGAGAAGTCAATCTCCTGGTACTTGATCGGGCAGGACCCGGCGTCCTTGCTTGTTTTCTTGCTTATGCGTGTGAATACAACACTGCGATCTATGGAAACCTATGTAGAACTACTTGCACGATGCTTTGGAAGATGAATTACCCACTGAAGTCACTCTCCAAGAGCCCATTCACTAAAGTGCATTTCATATTTAGAGCCAGAAGCTGAATCGAGAACTAACTTAGAGACGGTTTCTAGTTTGGCTTTTTTTTTTTTTTTTTGCCTTAAATTCACTTGGAATTCTCACTTTAGTAAATAACTCTGTCAGCCATCTCTATGTGTGTTTCCCATCTACTTGTTTTCTGTTTAATAATTTATTTTATTGTATATTTCATTTCAGATGACCTCCTCAGTAACCTTGTTCACACACCCAGCCTGGCAAAGCAACTGAGCCAACCTTCTCCAAGCCTTGAGGCAGAGAGTGAACGAGTCTGTGCCCTGGCTCTCGAATGTCTCTCACACCTCTTCAGCTGGATCCCCCTTTCTGCCAGCATCACCCCATCCCTACTTACAACAATCTTCCACTTTGCACGTCTAGGCTGTGATGTCCGATCACGACGGACCTCAAACACTGCCACCACCAACTCCACCTCTGTGACTCTTAATGGGGGCAGTAGCAGCCCCCCTCTGCCCTCCATATTGCCCACGTCCCAGCGAGACTGCGATAAGTTGGGGGTATTGGCAATGTCTTGTATTAATGAGCTGATGTGCAAGAACTGTGTTCCACTGGAGTTCCAGGAATATTTGCTACGTGTGTGCCAGCAGACTTTCTACCTCCTGCAGAGGATAACCCGGGAGACAAATGCCCATAGCATTCGCAATCGGCTGGAGGAGCTTGACGAGAGGTGATGCCTTGTTTTCCCCCTACAATAACTGCAGCTGTGCTGGGCTGAGTAGAAAAGGAAATCAAAACATTTGACTACCAAGAGGGGGAACTGTCTAGGTCCATTACTGGAGATCCTCCTTTGGAAGGAGAAGTTTAGTTGTTTATGTTCATCTTGATGTTTGGGATTAAAATTTCATGGAATGCGGCATGGTCCTAGTGTCTTCCTGGCTGTTCTGTTTGTCAGGATTCCGTAAGGTTTCAGTTGAAACAATAAGAGATTAATAATACATCCTCCATCTTCCTCACATCCTGTTCAGTTCAGCTACTTGATTTGGGTTTATGTTAATGTAAATAACTCTAGCTCTCTGTGGTCATTCTAATCATTGTCATTACAGTTACGTGGAAAAGTTCACAGATTTCCTGCGGCTCTTTGTCAGCGTCCACTTGCGGCGGATAGAGTGCAATGCCCAGTTCCCCGTTGTTGAGTTCCTCTCTCTCTTGTTTAAATATACCTTTCACCAGGTATGTGTGTTTAATCTCATTTTCTTTGTAAGCCTGCTGTAGTGCTGGACTATCAAATGCAGACCCTGAATATTCAATGCCCCTTATCTGTCCCTTCAGCCAACACATGAGGGTTACCTGTCTTGTCTGGATATCTGGGCCTTATTTCTGGACTACCTGACAAACAAGATCAGGAACCGTCTAGAAGACAGAGAAGCCATTCTCAGCAGGTGGGTGAAAAATACATTTTTTAAAGTGTTTATTCCCCCTCCTTAAAACCATGGGTAGGTAGGGGGGAATCATTATCACTGGTGATCCAGTGGGAGAACATGCTTGTCTGAGCCCTCAGTGGGTGCAGACTGCTCATTCCGGCCTGGGCATGTATCAGAGCGTTGCTATGGTAACGCTCGGATACAGTTAGAAGACAGAGACAAAGTAGTTCTTACTCCAGCTCTGCATCCGAGAAGCTCCATTGGCCATAAATAGGGAGGGGGGGAGGGAAGGGGAGGGGGGAGGCACCATCCAGGGGGTTTAATCCCCCCACCTGAAGGGTTCCCAAGCAGTCTTAGGAAGCTGATCTATAGCAAATGAGCTCAGAATAAAAATGCTGCAAACTTTCTCAGTAATTCCCCTTTAGTTGCTGCACACTTTTTTAAAAGTAAAGGCCGTGTGGAGAAGTAATTTTGCCATCAGGAATATTTACTAAAGTGTGAATGTGTAGGAATTTAAATTAAATATCAAGTTTTAGGCCACAATAGTAGAACTGAAAACCTGTTTTGGATGCTCTTCCCAGCTTCCTCATTACCCACTTTAGTAAATAGTCCTGTGAGTAAAGTACAATATTTGAGCTAGTCACCAAACTGTTGGAAAGGTCAGAATAGCTGAGCTGGAAACATGGCTGACTGTAGAATTTTCACAGAGCGGCTATTTTGGCCTGAGCTGTAACACTTACTGGGGGAATTCCCAAGAGTCGGCTGTTTAGTGAAGAACTCTGACCATGTTTCAGAGGCTGTCATCAGACAAGTTGGACACTTGTCTTCCTTTTAAACAGTCTGCCTCCATGAACAAAGAAAAGCAAAGAACTTTCCATAAAGTGGGTTTATATCTGCTGAAAATACTTTGTTGTGTACATAGCATTAGAGAGGATGTTTGTTTTGGGATGAGTGGTGATATTGGTGTGGTTTTTTTATTTATTTTTTTGGACTGTATATTCTTACTTTTCTCTACTCTGTAGGTACGAGGATGCCTTGGTACTGCTGCTCACAGAAGTGCTGAACCGAATTCAGTTTCGATATAACCAGTCGCAGCTTGAAGAGTTGGACGATGAGACGCTGGATGATGATGTAAGAATGAGGGGCCTGGGTCTTATTAATAAAGAGAGACATCAGCCATAAAGATTGCAGAGAAAAGAATTTGATTGAGGAAGTGCCAGATTTCCTAGCTTTTCAGAACAATTTTACAATGTCATATTTGCAGATCTCCCAATATCTTCTTCTAAATTGCTATTAAAGGGACACTTAAGGCACCCAGACAACTTCATCTCATTGAAGTGGTCTGTGTCCACAGTCCTTGTCACATTAACCTGGCAGCTGAAAACATTGCAGTTTCAGAGAAAATGTTTGTATTGCAGGGTTAAGACTGCATGTAATCATATACACTTCTCAAAATGGGGAGCAAACCCTTTTCCACGTGCGTCCCATCATTATGTAGAATTGGCATGTCAGTGATTACATGGTAGATCTTGCAAACAAGATGGCCCTTTGTGTACCTAATGGTATGCCTAACTTTTATTTGCCTTTTGTTTCACAGCAGCAGACAGAGTGGCAGAGATACCTTCGTCACAGCTTGGAGGTGGTGGCCAAGATTATGGAGCTGCTCCCCACACATGCCTTCTCCACTCTGGTATTAACTGCATCTAAATTTTGACTCCCACATACAGTATCTCACAAAAGTGAGTACACCCCTCACAATTTTATTATATATTTTCATGTGTCAACACTGAAGAAATGACTCCGTTACAATGTAAAGTAGTAAGTGTACTGCCTATATAACAGTGTAAATTTGCTGTCCCCTCAAAATAACTCTACACACAGCCATTAATGTCTAAACCGCAACAAAAGTGGGCGTAAGGTGTCAATACTTTGTGCTGCCACCATTATTTTCCAGCACTGCCTTAACCCTCATGGGCATGGAGTTCAGCAGAACTTTACCGGTTGCCACTGGAGTCCTCTTCCACTCCTCCATGATTACATCACGGAGCTGGTGGATGTTAGAGACCTTGCGGTCTCCCACCTTCCGTTTGAGGATGCCCCACAGATGCTCAATAGGGTTTAGGTCTGGGGACATGCTTGGCCAGTCCATCACCTTTACCTTCAGCTTCTTTAGCAAGGCAGTGGTCGTTTTGGTGGTGTGTTTGAGGTCATTCTCATGTTGGAATACTGCCCTTCCCAGTCTCTGAAGGGAGGGGTTCATGCTCTGCTTCAGTATGTCAGAGCACAGGTTGGCATTCATGGTTCCCTCAGTGAACTGTAGCACCCTAGTGCTGGCAGCACTCATGCAGGCCCAGACATGACACTCCCACCACCATGCTTGACTGTAGGCAAGACACACTTTTCTTTGTACTCCTCACCTGGTTGCCGCCACACAAGCTTGACACCATCTGAACCAAATAAGTTTTTAATCTGGTCTCTTCGGACCACAGGAAATGGTTCCAGTAATCCATGTCCTTAGTCTGCGTGTTTTCAGCAAACTGTTTGAGGGCTTCCTTGTGAATCTTTAGAAGAGGCTTCCTTCTGGGAGGACAGCAATGCAGACCAATTTGATGCAGTGTGCGGCGTATGGTTTGAGCACTGACAGGCTGTCGCCTCCCTCCCACCACCCACCCTTCAACCTCTGCAGCAATGCTGGCTTGTTCTGAGTGGAACCTGTCCTGTGAAACCGCTGTATGGTCTTGCCCATCATGCTGCAGCTCAGTTTTAGGGTCTTGGCAATCTTCTCAAAGCCTAGGCCATCTTTATGTAGAGCAACAATTCTTTTTTTCAGATCCTCAGAGAGTTCTTTGCCATGAGGTGCCATGTTGAGCTTCCAGTGACCAGTATAAGAGTGTGAGAGCGATAACACCAAATTTAACACACCTGAGACTTTGTAACATGAACGAGTCACATGACACCAGGGAGGGAAAATGTCTTATTGGGCCCAATCTGGGCATTTCCACTTAGGGGTGTACTCTCTTTTGTTGCCAACGGTTTAGACATCAATGGTTGTGTGTTGAGTTATACTATTTTACAGGCTGTGCACTTACTACTTTACATTGTAGCAGAGTGTCATTTCTTCAGTATTGTCGCATTAAAAGATATAATAAAATATTTACAAAAATGTGAGCGGTGTGCTCAATTACTGTTACATAAACAACTCCTTAAAGGGGCACTCCGGGTACCTATACATGTTTAGTGCAATGTATAGATTAGATTACAATATGCTGGGTTGCATTAATGTCGTTCTTGCAGGGTTTCCCTTTTCTTTTTTTTCTTTTTTTTTTGGGCAAGAGTTTGGGTGGCCATTTTGAAATTTCATCACAAATTGTTAAACCTTTTGTAAAGATTATTAAATTCTGTTTTAACATCAAATTGTTAAACATTATTTAATTGTTTTCAGCACACTATATAAGGGTATTTCTTATAATGGAATAAGACAGCCCAAAGACTGGTTCTAATTTTTTTTTTTAATTTTTTTTAAATGTATTTAGCATTTATTGTAAATATCCGTTTAACTTTCTGGCTGCATACACATTTTATATTACTTTCCGGATGAAGTGTTTTATGGATTACTAATAGAAGCCATTCCCCAGTGTGGAGAAGAGACCTATAACTAAAATGCCTCCCTGCTATAATACGAAGGGGCTCTTTTGTCTTTAATTGAATTGCTAAAAGTTGAACCATGACATTGGCCAGCAGTACCAAAGGATAGACTGAGAAGAGAGGAAGACTTTCACAATTCCCTTTTGTACATATGAACAATATTATTATTAAAAAGTATATATCCAAAACACGAATACTTATATAACAGGGAGGCAAAGCGGTTGAAGTGCATAGTCTTATAGAGCTTCAAGTTTTCTAACCTTTGATGCCATAAACGTGCCCAAAGTCAGCCCAAGAACTCACAACGTCCATAATAGGATTGGTTGGCCATCTCTGGACTGTTAAATGTACAGTCTGTTAGATATACAAAACTCATTCACATGCTTTCGCTGAGTGTGTGTCTAGGGAAAGTGTTTGTCATCTTCATGCAGAGTGTGGCAACTCCAAATGTCAATCCTGCGGAAATGGTAGGGGCTGCAAAAGGAAGCCCCTCTAGTGGATGAGTGATAGCATGTACTGGTGTCCTTGGGGACAAATGTCAATATTTTTTGTTTCTCATAAAAGACTGTGTTTACAATTAGGAGACTGCAGGGACCAGAACACCGGTACATTCAGGGGTTCTGGTTTTCAGAGTGTCCCTTTAAATCCTCTGGAAAGAGTTGAGGTTAGTTGGTATAACAATTTGAATGTCTTACACCGATGGTACATCATATTGAACTTTTTGATGGTATGAATAAGGCCAACGTATTCGTCAAATTAGTTCTTAATTCTAATTTGCATCCATTGAATTCTTGATAAATGGAATGAAAGCAGTACAGTTGTCCATTGCCTGTAATATCAAAGGACACGTCTTTGTTTCCATAATCCATGTGAGAGACCATGGAAAATGCTAATTAGGGTGGAAATGACAGATGAAGACCGAAAGAGACCAATATTTCGGGAAGTGAGATGCCTGCAGTGTGAGACTGGGGGAAAGTTTGTGAGAGAGGGGGACTGGCAGAGGGAGAAACTAGGGAGCTGAAAGATGGCAAAAAGAGACTGAAAGGCTAGGTGGAATACATGAGGGTGACAGAGTGCTGAAGATCTTTACATGGACCATGCAGAGAAGTTATTTTTAATGCTCCATAGAGTTACTATAAAAATTAAACAAATGGAAAAGTGTTGTGATCCCTCTCTTGCCCTGCTTGCTGCTGTGCTGGACTGCCTTCATTTATGGTACATGTGTGTGTGTTGTAAAGTTTACCCCTGGCCCCTGCATGTCTATGGGCCAGTAAAGATGAATTTTTCACACAGTGCTGTACTACCGGAGGTCTTATACCCCCAGTATGGAATAGGCTTAAAAGTCTCTTTGCCTTTATCTTTAGTAATTAAAACTCTGTCCTGATCCAAACCCATTATCGTTGACTGCTTGGAAATGGATTAGATGAAGACATTACCGACTGCTTGGAAATTGTATTTATTTTCCTTCCATTACAGCTTTTTGGGCAGGTGCGCTTTTTATTCCTTTGGAAAAATCGAATCTCCTTACCCACGCTTTGTCTAACTTGTATGGAATAACAATTTGATAAATGTCAGTCCGCTTCTAGTAACTTAGGAGTCAGCACTTTGCGTTCCTCTGACCTTTCCAGGACTTGCTATAAATCATGGATAAACTCTGGCCTCAGAAGATCTGTTCGTCATACATAGGGATTACAATTTATACTGTAACCGTGTGTGGTTCCCTTATTTACCACTATAATGTCTTAAAGCATAGAACTTAGTAGGGCTAACCATACAGATATCTTAGCCATAATTTTATATAGTTAGTAAGAGATCCTCTATTTACCATATATAAATAATAAGCATTGTCTTGAAAGCAAGATTGTCTTTTTGGATATTTATTATATAAAAATTTAAATATAAAATCCATTATAGCAGAGTTTATAAGATTAAATTACATGCTTGCAAATATCATTAATAGGTTAACATACCCTTCTGAACATGTCATCATGTCAGCCTCTCTGTCATTTTAAGATGGAGCAGCGTCTGTCTCCAAGTCTCTCCTCTGTGTCTTAACATTTAAAAGTACACCTATTTATACCTTAGGTGTCTCCATTTTAAGGTTACCGTAGTTCATATTTATTATATGAAAAAGTAACACTCTTTTACTTTATTCAATTTAGGACCTCCCTTAATTTGGCAAACATACAAGGCCATAACTAAAGGGTGCATACGTCATGGAAATTTTCCTGACTTAGTTCAAGATGGCATCTTAAAGTCTGAATAGGTTATCTGTTGTTTATACTAAGTCGTAAGTGTACAGTCGTGGGAGATTCCCGGATTTGGGGAAGTTCCATTAACTTGGGGTTACCACAGTATATTGTGTACTGCAAGAGTCGTAGCATAGCCTTGAAGCTTGTTTATGCATTATTGTTATTGTAATTCGTCTGGGACAAAATGGCGCAAACATATTATGCACTGAGGTTATTACTTAAAGAAACAGTTATGAAAAACAATGTTCCATTTCTAACACCTTGTCAGTTTGCAATATCTCTTAAAGACAAAGTACACAGTTTAAGAAATACAACATTTCATTCTAAAACTTGTAATATTTACATTTGCCCATATCAATACCCTACAGTATGATTGTCCCCTTTGGAGACTATTCATATCATGAGACGATTGATCTAGCTCCTGCAGAGAGTTTGTGAAAGGGGGGCTCCAGGCTGGTAGTTGAAGTCTCACTTTATGGCAATCAGGGGGATTAATGATCAGTGTTGCTGTTAATACTAATATCTATTTGGCCTTAAGATATGGGTGAAAATCATTTAATTTTTAAATGTTTGATTTAGGCTGGCTTATGCAGTTGCGCCTGGAAACAATATATATTTTGGATGGGATGGGATCTAAGCCCTTTGGTGATCTTTTATGCATGTTGGGGTAATAGGAATACTTCTACTGAAAAGTTGGGCATATTACCCACTGAATGGGTGAATCTCTGGGTCACCCCTACGTGATGCCAAACTGTTGGGGAAGGCCAGGTTTAAAGAGTTATTGCTCAAGGGGCTGACTTTCCAGTGAAAGAATGATTTGTTCAGGAAAGAGCAGAAAAACGCTTTGCAATTTTAAAGTGACAATACAGGTACCAGAACCACTACAGCTTAATTTGGTGTTTCTGGGGTAAAGAGCCAGTCTCTAGGCTGAGCAGTGTAAACGCTGCCTTGGCTGACAAAAAGTAGTGTTTTATAATGCCACCTCTCCTGGCTGTCACTCTGAAAGCCACCAGAAGGACTTCCTAGTTTCTGCCCTGTAAAGAATGTCGGACAAACAGTCAGCATCCCCACACTGCATGGAGACGCAGAATGCTTTGAGTTAATGCTTCTCTATGAGCAATATTGAGCTCTACTACAAACCATTCTCAGTGAGACAGGTGAAGTAGAGCAGCTGGCCCCTCTTCTCATTGACTGCTGTAAAATCAGCATATCTGCCTGATGTTGGACTGTTATTTGCTGCCATTCTCTGACCTATCAGTCAGCAACTGAACTGTGAATTGTTAAAATATTGTTAAGGATTAGGTATTTAGTTTGCACTAGATGTATTAACTGTATTGTAGTGTGGCACATGTATGGGATAAAATGTATTACTTGGATTGGGCTAAGGGTTGTATGTTAAATCTGCAGATGGTAGCATTATTGTATAACATATTAAAATGTGTATCAATGAAGGATTGTATTTCTTAAATACTAGGGGAGTTATGGCATTGGTATAGATTGTATAAAGTTTACACTGAGAGTCCATTTTATAGAATTGCTGCTGCATTTCAGTTCAGAGGCTGTGTGCACACTGTACAGTGATAATAAAGTTACATCTGAACTTTAAATGGCTGCCTTACACATAGCAAAAATTGGGGCTACAATCAAACTGACTAGAGCAGATTTGGAATGTTTTTTTTTATTTATTTTTTTCCTTCAATTTAACCGTTCACATTTTAATATTGCTACGATTTTGTAGTTTAACAAATAACCCTGAGGATTTCTGTTCAGGTTTTGATGATCTGTCTATTCTTAAAAGACCTCCACCTCTCAAAGGCACAGTGAGGCCTCTCTGTGTGCAGACAGACTAAAATAACTTTTCATGCACCTGTGCTAATGCAGCAATATTTATGATCGTGTCTGTCTCAATGACCTAGCACTGCTCACATGTCGCAGAATCTCCCTGGCACACACTTGCTTTTGTTTTATTCATTTGACAACCCGCTTTTTGTTGATCATCGAGCAGACGAAATGTGTGAAAAGAGCTATTCAGTGCAAAGGGGAAGTTTATCTGTTTGAGAGAACATGTCTGAATGCTTTCTTTTCTTATCTCTCTACAGTTTGCTGCCCTGCAAGAGAACCTCGATGTATATCTTGGATTGCAGCAATGCATAGTCACAAATGGAGCAGGTATGCCTTGCTTATTTTTCCTTCTCCTTCACTGTGCTCAGAAATAAAGCAGTTTATCGGACCGTCATGGGCACAGCAACGTTTCCACCTCCACCAAGGTTTTTGTCAGGCTTGACAAAGCCCTCATTGAACCCAGTGTGTGCCTGAGGTTCTTTCCTAAATATGTACCATATGCATGGGTTGTGCTGACCCTGACTCGGTAAAGAACCCTGTTCTCGGGATGAATGCAATCCCTTTTTTATTTTTATTTTTTTTCATATATATTTTAGTGAGTCGGCTTTAATTGATAAGTGACTTGCAAAAGTTAGGTTTAACTTTGTTTCATTTTATTTAAATTTTTTTTAAAGTTATTTTATTAGAACGCCACTACTTTGGCCTAAATATTTCATGCTGGTAGCCAGTTGTTAATGAAGAATCCTGCCTTTTTCTTCTGTAATACAGTTACAGGTCCCATGGGTTATCTTTACTAATGAATGACCATGATCGGCTGTTTGTGTTGAGCCCTAGCTTGGAAGACACATTAGCTAAGAAGTACAAGATGCCAAATAAAAATAATGAAACGGACAGTCGCCATGTCTAGAGGTCTAAATGACCATTTTGCAGGGGAAATGGGATCTTGTTGCAGTCCCCAGAGCTCTCTTGTATCGTGTAAACTCCAAAGATAGCAGTGGATGTGCAATTTGGAGCTCTGATCCACCGCCCTGACAATTGAATCATTTATTCATATCGGCTGCATTTTTAGAGCGATAAAATGCATATATCTATCTTTTCTTCACTGGTTTATTTTTAGAGTTTGGATGCTTATAATATTGAATTAAATAAGATCTTGCATCGTCCTCCTTGACTTTTATTGTCTGCCTGTTCTGAAGAGCAGCAGAGTGTTTTGGGAAAACAGACATTGAGTACCCCCCAATCCTACCATTTAAAATAAAAATGGGATAAAAAAACTTGGCAAGGAGACCAGCTAGGTGTTTGTCCAGCTTGGATTAGTCACCTCTTTAGCATTTAAAGAGTTATCCCCAAAACCCTCCATACACAGTATTCACAAGTTTTTGCTTCCAAAGAGGCATATGCTGACGCCTTTCTAGATTAATGATTGTGTCATGGGAAGACTGGCCATCTGGGCAGAAGGGCAGGCACAAAGGGATAGCTATATCCAGATGGAGCGCCACATATTGGATTAATCACATGTCCCAAGAATGTCCTCTATGTGAATGTCAAGGGATAGGGTTTCTAGAAGTCATGTAACATCCCTGCACTCCTATTACTGCTTCGTGCTGCCCTCTAGTATGTAGCATTCATGCATTGCAGGAGAGAAACCTGCTAAAAGCAAGATCATTTGGGATTCCTCCATTTGATTGCTGTTACTTCCAGCATATGAATACTACATTCCCTCTCCTCTTCATGAGATGTTCATTAGCATGACGAAGATTGTGTCAAAGTAAAACCAAGGGAATATGACCACCAGCATCAGTAGTCCTAAATAATTAGTGAGAGAGAATCTCTTGTTTAACTGTTAATCGCATTGAGGAAATATGAATAAAAATCTAGGATTGTGTGTATATATGTATTAAATAGATTTTTGTAATGTCATTAAGATAAATGTTTCCTCTGTGATTGGGTAAAGCATTGACCCTCCATAATCTAGGTGTAATCTGCCCCCAATCTCCCACAGACCAGCGTCTGAATGTAACAGCTGAAAATGACTGTCGGAGATTACACTGCTCCCTGCGAGACCTCAGCTCCCTTTTACAGGCAGTCGGGAGACTTGCAGAGTATTTTATTGGCGATGTGTTTGAGGCCCGTTTCAACGATGCTCTGACCGTAGTTGAAAGGTAATAAAACCTCTCGCTTCATTACAAAATGTTAGGTTTTCATACTGTAGTGATCACTTTGCCATTTTTCTATTCATTTATTTTGAGGGAAGCTTGTAAATAGAATTGTTCAGTCATTAAGATATAGAGAAAACAGACGTCATTTTATATGGGACACCAGCTCCGCAATGGCTGCAGTCTGTTCATAGAGTAGCATTGAATGCAAACATTTGGTCTGGTTGACAGATGCGAGGTATTACCAGGGAGGGTCTATAAAGGTTTTGATTTCACTTAAATGAACACTCATACTTTAAAAAAAAAAAAAAAACCACTGGGGAACTTGCTGTTAAACTCTAAAGCCTTTTTAGGTGTTCCTATTTAAATAAACAAAATCATTTTATCTTTACTTTTACCCTTCATAAAGCCTGAGATCAGATACTGATTTTAAATCCTATATTCCGGAGTACAGGTATTCAATATTTCTGAAGTAGCTGATCTAGATCGCCCTTCTGAGTAATTATCTATGTGCCTGCTGCCATACAGACTGTCTGTCTGACAGCAAGTACTGAGGTCACTCTATAGTCTGGCCACGGATAAGAAACTGTGTGCACTTTAATGAAGAGACTGACTCTAATTAAATTGAACTATCCCTTTTTAAAATCCAGGAGACATCCTCAACAAAACTTTTGTGTACGCACAACCATTCTGTTCCTTATTAAAGAACCAAATAATTAACTGAATACATTTTTTTTATTTTATTTTTTTTTTAAATTGGCTGAACACTTCTAAGTAGACTGATTATGTATATGATTAAACATATAGAAAAAGGAAACCCTTCTCCAGGGTTTAAATGAACACTATAGCATTAGAAATAAAGGTTTATTCCTAACACTATAGTGTCCTAGTCACCGTTCAGATGAAGGCTCCTGCTGCTAGGATTAAAATGGAAAATCTACTTATTTTATTTTTTTTCATTTCTCACCGGAAGCACCTCCTCTTTAGCGGAGATCATGATCACTGATCTCTTTCCCCTAGGAAAGTATTGGTAGGCTAGTGCTCAGTGCTTTAAGGGAACACTACGGCACATTTTAGAACAGTTTGACTTCTTACCAGGGGTCCGCTGAGCACTGCTGCCCTCCTCTACTACATCCAGGAGAGAGCCAAAAGCTCCCACTTAAGGAGCATCTGCTGATCACTCCTCGCACCATAACCACTACAGTTCAGTTGGTCCTGGTACATCCAGGGCACCCGTTGCATTGAGGCCTATGTGGTAACCTAAAATGAACTTCTCTCTTTTTTTTTTTTTTTTTTCTTTAAATAGAAGCAGGCCTTAAAATAAAGTCTTCTCCCAATCAAATCCTAACGTGCTTCACTGGCCATGGATACTTTCTGCCCTGCATCTTTTGACATAGTGGGTCAGTGAAAAGGTGGTCAGAGTGTCAGTGAGACGTATTCTGTACGGCAGCCTGGCCAAATGCAAGCACCTATCATAAAAATCCTGTCAAACTAAAGAATCCCTTCATTTAGCTTGCTGATGTGCTTTGTGCCAGGATATGCTCATTTTAATTGCAGTTTATATAAGTGTTCATCTCTATATGAAATCTGCACATTTATAATTAGAGAGACATGTCTGACAGCTAGGGAGGTTATTTTCCTAATTTAAGTTAGCTCCGTGCCTCCCCGCTCTGCTTAGAGCTCTGTAGCAATTTCTGTTTGTCTGCATAGGAAATATGTCAGGGCTTTTTCCCATTATTATATTTAACTTTGAGTCCACTAAGAGGAAGCTATACTTTCCTCTCAAGCCAGTCCATACATGGGAAGCTAGAGTGCTCCTTAATCCATTGTGTTCTGTGCAAGATCTCATCTGTAAATAGGAGAAGGCCTAGCTTGTGAAAGAGGAGGCGCTCCATGTAAAAGTTGTATGGTGGACTTACTGTGAGTTCTCTCCTCTTTAGGTTGGTGAAGGTCACTTTATATGGCTCTCAGATCAAACTGTACAATATGGAGACCGCTGTACCATCGGTATTGAAGCCAGACCTTGTTGATGTGTAAGTAGTCCTGGCCTGCCTGCAGGTGACCTTTCTGTCTGACCATGTGACTGCTAAGTGGGACACAAACGTTCTGTGTTTATGTTCTGTAGATCAACATCTGTTGCTTCGTTCTTGGGTTTTGTTAGTTGTTTTTGACGAAGTGCAACGAAAGGGTATATTGAGATTTTGTTAAAACTGGGGGCATGAGTTTTGTTTTGGGAAACTCTGTAAGTAGAATTTTTATTCTATAACTTCTGTTAACTTGTCATTTTAATGCCTCTTTTCTGTCGAATTCCTATTTATGACAAGTTCATTCTTTTTGCAATGCTTTATAGATTGTCTGCACCGCAGCGCCATACCCTTGGTTAATTCACGGTATGCAGATTTATAAAGAGGCAATGCTGGTAACTTAAAGAAAAAACAAATTGAATTTGCAAAGTTTAGGGTCGCATTTCAACTTGTTTTTATTTCTAGGGAAGTAAAGTTTATTTAAACAGACAAACAATCCACTTATTGATCAAGTGAGTTTCATTCTATAAATGCCGCCTTCTTCCCACTGCATCAATGTGAGCACAAAGCCAGTCTATAGACCTTGAGTGTTCTTCCTTACAGGCATGCCCAGTCTTTGGCAGCACTGCAGGCTTACTCCCATTGGCTGGCACGTTTTTACAGCGAGGTTCAGCGCCAGAACCCAGAGCAATTTATGTCCATTATCTCCACGGCAATGGAGGCTTTGCCTCCCCTCATCAGCACCAAGGTAAGTGCCTGCATTAAGGTGATCACACACAGAGCTCCGATATCCAGTCTGTCTGCCGAGACCTCATACCCATTTCTGCTCTTCAAGGTACAAGAGAAGCTGCTGCTCTCTGCCTGCCATTTGCTTGTGTCCATTGCCACAACGGTGAGGCCTGTGTTTCTTATCAACATTCCTGCCGTCCAGAAAGTGTTCAGCCGCGTCACAGACAGTTCAGCACAGCGATTACCGGAGGAGGTAAGGACATTGGGACACAGCTGCAGAATTCTGGTCTTCACACACCTAGGCTTGAAGCATGCATTATTTTAACTATATTGTTCTATTCTTCCAAAGAGGGTTTAATGTCTTTGTTTTATGGAATATAAACCTCTGTTTACTCTTTGCCTCTGATAAAGTGTAAAGAGGTTGGAAATGAGGCAATGCAGTCATTGTCTCTCAAACTCAATGTAGATATTGTAAAATGTGACTTAAATGTTTTTTGGGTTTTTTTGTTTGTTTTTTTTACACAAATCTTAGAATTGCCAGATACGATTTTGACGAAAGTGAATAATACATATAAATTGAGACGTAGTGTGCCATAACAAGTGTATTCCTTTCTGAACGTGAGTGTTTCTCAGGTTTTCAGACATCTGCTTCTTAATAACCTTTTTATTTTATGTACCAGGCCCAAGTGCTGCTATGTCGAGCCCTCTCCAATGTTCTACTCCTCCCCTGGCCCAATGTTCCTGAAACTGAACAGCAGTGGGTCGAACGCTCCAACCATCATACCAACCTGCTAAGTGCTCTGACCAGAGAGTACCGGCTGCTAAAGGGCAGTGCACCTCCAACACGAAAGGGTCAGATCGAGGCCAGTAAGTGTGACCTCCACACATCCTCACATTATCCTAATTTTAGTATTTACACTTTCACATTATGTATTGGCGGTGTGCTCAAACCTCTGTCTCGCTGCCAGGGGGCCTTCTTTCACTTTGGCTCGAGATCCACTCAAAATCCCTCCTCTTAGTCTTAGGGGTATGTTCAGTAAACACTGAATTGGAGGTTTAAGGCTAAAATGTCATATTGTGGCCAACTGAGCCACATTTTTCAAAATCTGTTATTTAAGTCTACTTTTTTTTCTTCAATTCTGTGTGAACCCCTGGGTGTGATGTTTCCCACAATTAAATTTATGCAATGTGTAAATTAAGACTGGCTTTAGAAGCCAATATGTAGTTGAAAGACTAAGACATGCTGAGTCATTTTATAGGCTCAATTTATGACTTTTAAATCACAGGTTTTCAATGTTGGAGCTTTTTTTTTCTCCTGTTGTCCATGCTTAACTTGATCCTATTATTCTCCCCAGCAAAACGTGTCATCTGTCAGACCCTTAGTGTATTGAGGGACATCGTGGAGAATATATCTGGTGAGGGCACTAAATCCCGGCAGATCTGTTACCAGTCCATACAGGAGGCTGCTCAGCTCTCTCTTGCCCTTTTTCCGGTTTACATCCACCAATCTGGTAAGCTGCATTCCAGTACCTCTCTGGGCCTTTTGTTATTGGAGTGTGTGATATGATGGCTTAGAACATGAACTCAAGTTTGATTTATTTTCATACTTAATCTGCTCTGCCTCTATTCGTATCCTGGTTATTTTAAGAGGGTTTAGCTTTGTTTTAGGTAGTCAGCTTTTTTTTTTTTTTTTTTTTTTTTTTCACTATCTTTACATTGTCCTTGTTGAGCGTAATCCATTTCAAAAGACCACCAGCTAATATCAGGGCCGTCTTTAATAACGAATGGACCCTGGGCAAGTGTTTGCTTGGGCCCCCTGTGCCCTGCCGCTCTCGCCCCTCACTCCCTGGTATGCAATCACGGCATCCATCCCAACGCAGTGGCAGTACTAAAGTAGAATGAATTTTATTGGGACCCCCAATTGCAAGGTTGGACTAAAGGTAGAACCCCATCTGTCGTGCAACTCCAACAATGCTTTGACAGCTGGCACTCTACCAATTTCCCATGCTTGCAGGGTTGTATTTAGCACTGAGCCATGTTTGTATGTTTGAATGTGAGCATGTGTTTGTATGGAGTATGTTTGTGTGAATGTGTTTGTATGTGGTACTGGAGTTTGAATACAAGTGTGCATTTATGTGTAGTGTTTGTTTTTGAATGTAGGAGTGTGCTTGTATGTAGTGTTGACGTTTCAATGCAGGAGTGTGTTTTATATGTAGTGTTGAAGTTTGAATGAAGGGGTGTATTGTATTTAAAGTTGCGGCTCAGATGCACAGGTACACACTCTGACGCACAAGCAGATACACAGATACATACACTGACTACATACAGATAAACGGGCACATACACTGACAGCCACACTGACACAGGTACATATATTGACACACACACAGACACATACACTGGTAGATGTACTGACAGACATACTGACACAGGCACATATACAGACATACTGACACACAGACACATATACCGACATACTGACACACAGACACATATACCGACATACTGACACACACACACAGACACATACACTGATCAACATACTGACACACATACACTGACAGAAATACTGACACCCACACACTGACAGATATACTGACACCCACATACACTGAGAAATACTGACACACACACAGACTGATATACTGACACACACACACACACAGACATACTGGCACACAGACAGATATACTGACACATGCATACACACAGACATACTGGCACACAGACAGATATACTGACACATGCATACACATGCACTAACAGACATACTGACGCACTGACAGACATACTGACACATACACATACTGACACACAGATATACACACACATATATACTGACAGACAGACAGACATACTAACACACAGACATACTAACACACAGACATACTAACACACAGACATACTAACACACAGACATACTAACACACACAGACATACTAACACACACAGACACTAACACACACAGACACTAACACACACAGACACTAACACACACAGACACTAACACACACAGACACTAACACACACACACTAACACACACACTTTTTTTTTTTTAAATGTAATCCCCCCAGCCTCCTTACCTTTTGGAGTGCTGGGGGGATTCCCTGGGGTCCAGTGGTGCTGCTGGGCTCCTGGGCTGGTGGCCGTCAGAAGGGATGCATGAGCACTCCACTGCCTCTTCAGCTCCCTCACACAGATGCCGGCGCCGGAAGATGACGTCATCTTCCGGCTCCGGCATCAGTGCGGTGCGCGAGGGAGCTGAAGAGGAAGCGCTGAGTGCTCCCTCGCGCGCCCGCCTTCCTGCCCGACCGGCCACCCGCCCGCCGGGCTCAGCGGGGCCCACGGGGCAGGTGCCTCGGGCCCCCCAAGAGAAACTGGGCCCGGGGCAGCTGCCCCGTTTGCCCCGCGTTAAAGACGGCCCTGGCTAATATTGATCTAGCACTGTCTGCACCCAAGTGGGTAAACGAGGACTGCATGTTGGAGTAATCCAAAACCCTACAGTGCCAGTGTGAGGGCCAGTTAGCAGTCTAGCTTTGGAACTACATCTCCTGTGATGCCTCTCTACATACAATAGTGTGTCTGGGTGACCAGAGGATCACAGGTGTTCAGGTTTTTATGTAACAGAAGAGATGCATTTTGGCGAGCTCTGAGCTTAAGACCATTAGATCAGTTGAAATCTGCCACCATAAACAAGGTGGTAGTGATTGAGACCATCTGACCTAGAGCAGAGGGGGCACCAACAGGCGCCTTGCCAGTTCTTGCTGAAATCAGTGTGTTGGAATAATCGACTATGCATTAGCCAGTGTGCGGGAAGATTGCAGGAATTCTAGTCCTTTAACAGCTGCTGTACTACCTGTTGGTTACCAATGGTCTAGAACACAAATATGGTTTAACTTTAACTTACTGTGTATTATATTTGTCAAAAGCATGAGAAGAAGATCATTTAAAGAGGCTTGGAACATAATAGTTCTCAAAGCACCCACAAAAAAGCTATTGCAATAAGACTCCGTGTGTAGGATTTACCGGTGTAGGTGGATTCAACCCTTTATTGTAAATCTATTTATTGGGGATCAAGAGCCCACTGCTCTAAAACCTAATTTAAAGTTGAAATTTCCAAAACATTTCTCAGGTTCTAACCACTCATTCTGTTTAAAAGTGCATCTATAACAATGGTTGCCCAGGCTCATAAAAGATCAAATTTGTATTTGGTAATTAAAGAAGACCCTAGCGTTTGGTATCTCAATGTGTCAGCGTCCATAGTGAGCGTTGCTAGCGTGCAGATTAATGGTGTTTGTCTATGTGGAAGCTGTGTGGAACCTTCACTAGCCATTCAGAAACATCCCACAGAAGAATGCGAGTGTTTCGAATACAGTTCCTTCTGAAACCATATATTGTCTGAACGAAATGGCTCAAGTCATGAATGTTAAAATGTTCTATTTCTTTTCTTTCTGTTAAGATGTGACAGAAGAAATGCTCAGCTTCTTCCTAGCCCTGTTCCAGGGACTGCGCGTGCAGATGGGAGCGCCGTTCACAGAGCAAATCATCCAGACCTTTCTTAATATGTTCACAAGGTAACCATATAGTGTGTGTGGATTTGAAGAGGTGACCTTAATGAGAACGTGAAGCCTACTTCCTTTCAAATTAAGATGATTTTATGTAGGCGCTGAACTGACAATGTTTCAGTCTAGTGCTAAAGATAATCTCTGTAACAACCAAGTGGTCACTGGAGATTGTCCATCCTAATGAGGTGGGGTAGGGGGCACTGCCAAACGCCACACTGGCCAATCAGCATCTTCTCATAGATGCATTGAATCAATGCATCTCTATGGGGAAAGTTCAGTGTCTGCATGCAAAGGGGGGAGACAGAGAACGTAACTGTGCAGCAGGAAGCATCTCTAGTAACAATCTAAGGAGTGGCCAGTAGAGGTATCCCTAGCCTGTAATGTAAACACTTGACAAAGACCTTTTGGGGTCAAAACATTGCTGTTGTGGTTCTCAATAAAGTGCCTCTCTTGAACCAAGGAGTGCCTGGACCCCCTTTTTTATTTTTGTAATATAAACACTGTCTATTCAGAGAAAATGCAAACAGCCTGCTGTAGTTGTTTTGGTGACTATAGTGGCCCTTTAAGCATATCCACATTCTAAATACATGTTCCCCTGAATATGGGGGGGGGGTGGAGGGGAGATTTCCCTATTGATTCATTATTTTCAGTCACATGAATGATTTAGCCAATATCACAGTGCTCAGAATACCTGATCCTATTTGACATTGCTATATACTCTCAGGATACAGAGCCTCCATGCCAGTCTGACTGTATACCTTGAAGGCATTGCTTAATTTCTCTCTGAATGGTCTCATGTGCAGTGTCCGTAATTGTTTGTTTTTCCCTGCAGGGAACAGCTGGCAGAGAGTATTCTGCAGGAAGGCAGTGCCGGGTGCCATGTGGTAGAGAAATTCTTGAAGATACTTCAAGTGGTCGTGCAGGAACCCGGGCAGGCTTTAAAACCGTTTTTACCCAGCATCCTGTCACTCTGCATGGAACAACTGTACCCTATAATTGCAGAGGTATGGAAGGGGAGGATTCTGGTCTAAGCACGTGTCCACAAATACCAGGTTAAGGTAGCGGTTATTTTCTGGTGACCACAGTAAATGTGCACAATTCATTACAAATGTTTCACCAGGCTGAGGTTTTGTCCCTTATAACCAAAGCCGTGTACAGTCTCCCTCCGCTTCCAGTTCACAATGTGAGATGGATCCTTAAGATGTTGAAATTACTCTGTATGGTAGATATCTCTGTAGATGTGTGTGCACAGACTTAGTCTGGTCTTTATTTTGTGCATAGCAGCCAGAGACGTTCTGTTGAGGGTTAAGATGGTGTTTTAAAGGAGTCCTGTCACATATTGGTAGGAACAAAACACGTCACATTAGAAAGCTAACTACTATATGTCTGTTATTTTTTTTTATTTTTTTTTCTATAAAAAAGACGTATAAAGATGCCGAGAACAGTAGTAAACAGTATTAAACTGATGTATAAAGATGCCAAGAACAGTATTGAATGTTGTACAACATGTAATAATTGCAAGCGGAAACGATCTCGAGCTATTAGACGCTATGTACAGGATGTAAACTCTTAAAATCGAAATATCGTGAACAGTACTTGATGTGCATACTTGACCCTACCCTCTTTCATTCTATACCCCAAGTGTGATTTTAAAATATTCCATAACTCAGTGATTTTACATTATTCATCATAGCTAGTTTCTATAATGCTATATTAACTCATAAAAATGTGCAATGTTAGTAAGCCATATGAATGTTTCTCTATGTCTACTATAAAGCCTGCACCAGCTGTTGTGGCAATGCAAGCATACCTGTATATTCTATGCACAACCAAAATAAAGAATTAAAAAAAGATGGTGTTTTAACGTAGTGCCACACTGATCTAACGTTTACAGTACAAAGCTTGTGCAGTTCCTTATCCATTTGTATACTTTTTTTTTTTTTTTTATATGACATTTCTGCATCTTTCCATCCTTTTCAGCGCCCCTCCCCCGATGTAAAAGCGGAGCTCTTTGAGCTGCTGTTCCAGTTGCTGCACAATAACTGGAGGTATTTCTTCCGCTCCTCCATCCTGGACAGCGTTAACAGAGATGCAGGCGATGAACCAATGGAGAACCAGGCGCAGTTTGTTGTAGTCATGCAGGTGGGTGATATAACAATAATGAAGGGGTAGGCAACCTTCGGCACTCCACATGCTTAGCCATCATGGCTGTAAGAGCGTGACGGGAGATGTAATCCACAACACCAGAAGTGCTAAAGGTTGTCTTCACCTGCCAGTTCACATGCCTCATCGTTGCTATATCTTTAAAGCAACAATAAACTGCTGTAATTAGTAAACAAAACCACAAGGTAGAACAAATACTGGAGAGTCGCTGACCCAAGCTGTCCTCCTATAGCTGTTACACCTTTTTGTTTTCTTTCCAGGTGCTGTCCTTTTATATTCAGCTGTATTTTCTTCTTTCTACCAGTAGGTGGCGCCTTTACTCTGCTATACTGTGCATGTGCGCTCTTCTTCTTAATTGCTAAAGGCGTCATTATTATTTTATTTTATATAGCGCCAACAAATTACGTAGCGCTGTACAATGGGATGTCATGCCATCATGGAACCTTCTTCATTAGATGCTGTTCCCAGGTGCTGTTACCCTAATAGCTTTTTAAGCCTCCATTGTCAGTCAAGTATCTCCTTAAATTGGACTCCCCATCTGGCAATTTCAGGACCTCCACTAGTCGAGACATAAAATCCTCTGATGCAATGTTCCATAAGCACAGCATGGTGAGGTGATGGTCTGTCGGAGCTGCGCGTCACTTCTGTAGATACTGACCGGATTTACTTCTGCCCAGCTACCTGTCTTACTGCCCAAATGCCAAATTCAAATTGTAATCCATGACTACATGGCAGATTAACACCTTCTATGACACAGTGCTTTAATGCCTGGGGCATTTATTTTGTTAAGTAACGTCTGATCGGTCAATTATAGTCTCTCCACGTGTTTACATAATAAAGACCATGGCTTGAGACTTGAGACTAAAAGGCCTCTAACCCCTACCCAAAATAGGACTTTTTAAAACCACTGATTCGCCAACATAAATCAGATTCTGTCCTTCTGTGTGGAACAACTTGAAAGCGGTCATGTGCCACCTGAGCATGGTATTATATGGTTGATATAAACAGTGTTTTCTATAACTTTCCCTCAAGGTGTACAATTTATTCAGCCTAGTGGGTCTGTCGTTAACACTCGTTGACAAACTCCCTCCCAGTAAGAGTTCCTGCTCTGTTGCCCTCCTCATAGTTCTCCCAGAGTCCTTTGTAAAGTAATTCTAAAAAAAGATACACAGAGGTAAAACTTCCACTATTCTGTTTATTTAATGATAAGAATAGAGTGCTGGAAAATTGTTTCCATGCTAAATACTTCTCTGCCAGGAAAGAATCTCATCCCAATTCCCTTACTGAGATGTTTCCATCTCACGGAACTAAATGATCTCTTCTATCCGGAATTCTTTTGCTTCCTTATCGGGGTCAGCTGGAGGTAGCCTCTCTAGTAGGGTAAGATACTGAACAATCCTCATTCAGCATATTTACATTATATATTTTTTGATGTGTCATAAATGATTGTATATGCGTTTCTAACCTCCAATATTGGTTTCTCTACTCAGGCATTTGGACAATCATTTCTGCAACCAGACATACATGTGTTCAAGCAAAATCTCTCCTACCTGGAGACCCTCAACAGCAAGCATAAACTGTACCATAAGGTGAGACCAGAAATACATAAATAATATTACTGCAATTTGTGACATGTACTCATTGTAAACTTGGTACTTGACACTCCTCTTGGGTTCCATGCTGACTGTGCTAGATTGATTTAAGTGTTTGAGTCTCTGCCTTATTGGATTTCTTTACTGATACCACGTCTCCCTCTCCACTCTAGAAGCTGTTCCGGGCAGTCATGCTGCCTCAGTTCGTCAGTGTTCTGCTGCAGGTTCTTATCCACAAATCCCATGACCTTCTGCAGGAGGAGATTGGCATTGCCGTCTACAACATGGCATCAGTGGATTTCAGCACTTTCTTTTCCTCCTTTCTCCCTGAATTCCTCGGCAGCTGTCAGGGCTTAGACAGTGGCCAGAAAAATGTCCTCGCCCGCAATTTCAAGATGGAACGGGTAAGAGTCCTGCTCATATAAACACTCTCCATTTGGATCTAACAATATAAAATGTAATAGTATTGCATTAAAGGGACACTCGCTAAGCACCAAAGTCACTACATCTTAATGTAGTGGTTTTGGTACAATGACCCTGGCCCTGCAGTCTGACAAATGGAATCAGAATGACAGCAACTAGAGGCTCTTCCTTGTGAAGACTTTTAATAATTTCTAAGTCTTAACATTTATTTTGTTGAAATGCTAATTCTAATAGAGAAACACTGGATTTAACGCTTTCCAGAGAGAAGCATGCGAAGGCTGAGTGCAGAGATTGCTGTACTTACCCAGTAGCTCCCCAGACTGTTCATTTGGAAATAGTCACTTTGAGCTAGGATTATCCTTGTTAAATACAAGACTGATTTGGGGCCTGTCTGCTAAACCCCAAAGTGGCATTCTAACAATTTGTTAATGGAACACTCCACCCGCTTGTGAAGTGCTTTATGTGTCCAGATATGACCATTTTAATTGCAGTTTATAAAAGTAACTACTTCTATTTGAAATCCACTCTTTTTTAAATAATTGCAGAAACGCCTTCCTTGGTGTCTAACTGGGGAGGTTGTCTTCGAATGCACCTGCTTTCTCCTCATTACCGTAGACTCCCTGGCTTGCCTGTTTAGCTCAATAAACGAAAGCTTCAAGCTTGCGGCTCAGAATCTGGGCTTTCTCAAAGAGAAAGCTTGTGATTGGTCCTTTCCCCACAGACAAAGTCTATTCCTGGGGGGAAAGGGGGACAGCTTGCAAAGGCTGGAGAGATCTGTAGCTTTTGCAAGTTGCTTTTAGATCTATCCCCAATGAAAAAAATGCAATATGTAAATATGATTGCGTTTTAATTGTGTAACATTAGCTTCTATGGTTAGCTCAGCAGGTTTTACATTCGTTTTTGTGCACAGATTAGCCACTCCTTGTCTCACCTGGTCTTTCCTCTCTCCATCACAGGACCTGCCTTCGTTTACGCAGAGCGTCCATCGCCTAGTGAATGATCTTCGATACTACAGACTCTGCAATGCCAGTCTCCCTCCGGGAACTGTGAAACTGTGACAAAACCCTTCCATTTTTTTTATTTTTCAAAGAATGGTCAGATTTCCCCTTCTCTTCATGTCGATTGTCTTAACTCTACAGCTGTGAAGCACGCTTTTTACTTTTATTTTATTTTCCCCTCCAATTTTATTTTTGTTTTTATATCACTGACTTTTTAGCACATTCTCTGACAGATTTCAGTGCCTGCTGTGACTCTTCTCAAACCAACTCTGCCCAAACATTTTAATCCCTTGGTTTATAAAAGGGGTTAAGTAAATCTCCTTGTTTTTTTTGTTTTTTTAACTGAAAACACTTCTCAGTTTTACAAACCTTATCGTTCCCAAATTTCCTTATTTGCAGAGGAAGTGGAGAGGTCTGATTTCCCCTAATGGACGCACACTCTGGATTTTTTTAAATGGACATTTAAGCTACATGCCTGACCCAATTATCTGGAGAAAGACTTTGTGTAATGTTTTTATATTTTATTTTAATTTTTTTTTTTTTTATCATTCCATTGTGAATTGCAACATCGCTTCCTGCGAATTAAACTCCTGTCTTGTTTAAATTTGTATGTGTTTATTTTCAAGAGCCCCATACGGTATGTTTTTACCATAACTAGTATGAACTATTTCTCCTGCAGACTCTGTACTATGTGTCCTATGGCTGTCCAAGTATCTTAAATTCGCTCATATTTATACTGCCCAACCATATAACTTGATGTATGATGCGCACATAACTTGATGTATAACATGGATGCACTGTGGGGAGCTGTTTTTGTAATATTGTATTTGTACAGTGTAAATCGGGGGGAGGGGGAGAGTTTGGGTAAGAATGAAACCTTTTTAAAAGTATGGGGGGGGAGGGGAGTAAAAATGAGCAGACTACAAAAAAATGTGTAGTTAAACATTATAGTGTTAGGAATACAAACAATTCTTAAAGGGGTGCTACAGTGTCAGCATCACAAATGTGTTTTCTTGGCACTATAGTTTTAAAACCTCGGTTTAGGTGGTTGGCCTTACCTGTAGGTGATTGACTCACCTTTTTCCAGTGCTGTGCGGGGCACCTAACGTCTTGTCCTCACCCGAAACTCCACCTTAGCTGACCTAATCAGAAATGATCTCTTCTAATCACGATGCTTTTCCATAGGAAATAATTGAATTTGGTGAGATTGTCAATTCTGATGATCTCAGCCAGTTACGGTTTTACTCGGGAGACTTTGCTGAACACAAATATTAGTGTTTCAAAACCGTAAAACCTATCACAGTGATGATATTGTCATTGAAAGGGACATTTTTTTTTAATTTTTTTTTGCATTTTTCACACACAAACAGCACTTTCACTGAGATTGTTGTGATATGTTTTACTATTTTGAAACACTAATATGTGTTCAGCAAAGTCTCCAGAGTATAACAGTACCCCCTATATACAGGGTTTATAGTGTTTTTGAAAGTTACAGGGTCAAATTTAACACCTAAACAAATATAAATGCTAACTTTGGCCAGTGATTGTGACTAGTGGCTACTAAAAAAGACTGGACATACCCCATATTGAATACCCTGGGTTGTCTACTTGTAACAGAAATAAGAATTTGTGTGTTTTCAAGGCGCTTTCAGTTAATAATTGAGTAAAATGACAGCAGCTACCACACAAATAGGGACTCTCTACCCTATAGATTAGTACAAAAAAGATTAGGTGTACACTCAGTATTGGAAATTAATGATAAAAACCACCACTGGTGTGCATATGGAGCGCTTACAAATTTGTTGACTCACCCATATGGGTTAACATACATATGTATGGAAAACGTGACTCATAGCGATATATCTGAAACAAATGTAAATGCAAGAAATAGTGCAGATAACGTTTTCAATAAGTGCAATGAGGGAATATTCTATATGGTCTCACTCACATGTAGCAGAGCCCTATAGGATAGGCTCAGATCTCAATGGCCTGCGTGTGCTTATGGTGACACAGTACCCAATCGGTCCTCTAGGCGTCTGGAGATCCTTATGCATACATGAGAGAGAGAGAGAGAGAGAGAACAAGGGGAAGAGGAGAACCCCTAGTGCGGTCAATCCCAATGTACAATGTCAAATAGTGCAGAAAAAATGGCTTCTCACCTGATGTGGAGCCCTATACCTGGCTCCTGGTGTGTAGGTGTCTGTGCCTTTAAGGGGGCAACTACCCTTCTTTAAGCAGCAACAGTGGAGGGTGGATTCCAAATATAAAACAAAATTTATTAAATAAAGTAGTAAAAACTTACAAGTAAAATATAAACAAAATTGTGAGAAATTATAAAATGTGGAATCTTCAATCCTCCAGCCGAAACATGTTTCACTGTACCCAGACAGCTTTTTCAATCGGTAATATAGTTGCTGCTGTTACTTGTTTAAATACTTTGTACTTCCTCCTGTGTGGTCCTTCAAACTTCCCTCCCTCCAATCCGCTGGCGTCCTTTTTCATGAACAGCTGTGCTGTGTTAGTAATGAGTATGCTCCGGTCTCGGAACAAGTCATGTGACCCGAAGCATCATGTGCCGCATCACAAATTGGGCGTGTTTTCAATGTAGGGCTCACAGTTCCATATCGTCCATTTTTAAGTTGGGCAAAATGCCCTTCCTTCAACCAAGTCCGTTCCTATTTACAAGCCAGGTGCTCAATTTGAGCGATATATAAACGAAAAAATGAAGGGAGAAAGGGGGATAGTATTATTGTATATTGCTTACAAGTTAATTCATAAAATTTACATATCAAAAAAAATAAAAACATCTAATGTTTTTCATTCAAAGTGACAGTACATGCATAAAGATAGGTGGTGAATAGGAGTGTGCTCTTTTAGGAGAAATGCTGATTATTATTGAATAGGTCTCAATTGTGTCAGCAGCTTATCTTCAATGATGATATCAATATTAAAATATATATATAAAAAAACATATAAATATATAGTAGGTTCCTAGCTGGTCTCCCATACAAGTACTAACCAGGCCTAAGCCTGGATAGCTTCTGAGATCTGACGAGATCAGGCATTTTCAGACTGGTATGGCCATAGAGCAAATATTTAAAATGTATGAAACATACTAATAAAAAAATAATTTAAGTTAAAAAATGGCATAACTCAAAATCATCATTGAGACCATTAGGCTGCATGGTATTCAGGTTAAAAATCCATTGCATCTCCCTTTGGCCTAATTTTTTAATAAAATCTCCCCCTCTCCAATCGGGTGATACCCTCTGAATTGCATGGAATTCTAACTGGGTGGGATCGCTATTATGTTTATTTTTAAAATGTAAGGAGACACTGTGCTTTTCATAGTTGTTCCTAATGTTCCTAATGTGTTCCTGTACTCTAATGTGCAACTTTCTTTTGGTGCGCCCTACATATACAAGTCCACATGGGCATATCAAGAGATAAATAACTCTCGTGGACTGACAAGTAATTAGCTCGTTGATCTTAAACATGACTTTTTTATTTTGAGGGTGTGAGAATTCTTTTACTAGTCTCTTCTTACTTTTTGAGTTCTTGCACGCACCACAGTGTCCACAACCATAAAACCCTTTTGTTTCGTTGAAAAAGTCCCTATTACATCTTTTTAGGGGTATATGGTTAGATGTTAAAGTGTTTCTTAAATTCTTTACTCCTCTATAAACAATCTTAGGCTTCTCCGGAAGAATACTATTAAGGAGGGGGTCATTTCTTAAAATTGGCCAATACTTTGAAACTATTTTTCTAAATTCTTTACTTTTACAGTTAAAGTCACATATAAGTCCTATTGTTTGTGGTTCAACTTTATTTTTAGTGTTATATTTAATTAGATCTTTTCTGTCCTTTATTTTGACTTCTTCAAGGGCTTTCCCCAACAATGTCTCGTTATATCCCTTTTCTCTAAAATCTTTCAGAATTTTGTGGGATTGTTCTTGGAATTTACATTCCTCCGTGCAATTCCTCCTTATCCTGAGCAGTTGCGCTTTGGGTGCATTCAGCAACCATGGGGAGAAATGGCAGCTATTCTCCCCAATGTAGCTGTTAACATCCACAGGTTTGAAAAAAGTACATGTCTTCAAACATGCATCCTCAACATAAATTTGGAGGTCCAGAAATTCCACTAGAATCTTGCTATAATTCGAGACTAATTTAATTCCCCAATCGTTATTATTCAGATGGTCCAAAAAAGATATCAGGGATGTCTCGTCCCCTTGCCAAATGAAAAATATGTCGTCTATGTAACGGCGATAGGCAACGAGGTTCGCGCTCCAACTACCATCTTGGTAAATAAATTCTTGTTCCCACAAAGCCATGAATAAATTTGCATAGCTTGGCGCGAACCTCGTGCCCATCGCAGTTCCACATATCTGTAAGTAGAAAAGATCGTTAAACCAAAAATAATTGTTATTCAGTATCCATCTGATACTTTTAACTAAAAAATCAATTTGTCCACTTGGAAATGTTCCTGACTGCTGTAAAAAATGTTCTGTCGCTTGACACCCTTTATCGTGAGAAATAATGGTGTACAGCGAACTAACGTCAGCTGTCACCAAAAAGCTATTTTCCTTCCACTTATGATCTGTTAAAACTTGGAGGATATTGGAGGTGTCCTTCAGGTAACTAGGACATTTGGTAACCACTGGTTGGAGACACCTATCTACGTACTGGGATAGTCTGCTGGAAATAGACCCAATCCCAGATACAATAGGTCTCCCTGGAGGTTTTATCCTATCTTTATGGATTTTGGGGAGGTGGTAAAAGACCGGTATTATAGGTTGTGTCATGTTTAGAAACGCATACTCTTTTTCATTTAGAATGTTACGTTCTTTTCCCTCCTCTATGAGAGTGTCATATGTGATTTTTATATCGCTAGTTGGATCTTTCGTCAAGATTCTATATGTCTTGTCGTCTCCTAAGAGTCTAAGGGCTTCTTTTACATAGTCTTCGCTGTCCAAAATGACTATACCCCCACCCTTATCTGCTGGTTTAATTACCAATGAATTGTCCTGCCTTAATTCCTTCAATGCCTGTCTTTCCCCATAATTAAGGTTGAATTGTTTTTGATTTGGTTTTTTAATCTTTTCTATATCCTTCATCACCATCTTTTCAAAGGTTGACATCTCTTCTGAGATACAGAACCTAGGATAGAATGAAGATTTTGCTTTAAGTTCAGTGTGCACAGCCTCTGACCTTTCTATGGGTACTTCTGGCCTAGTGATTGGATTTTTTAGGAAGAATTTTTTCAAACACATTTTCCTTTTGAATCTATTAAGATCTACATAGATACTGAACTTATCAAGTGCTTTAGTGGGCGCAAATTTAAGTCCCTTCTCAAGTAGATTTATTTGGGGATTAGTACCAAGATGGTAGCTGGAGCGCGAACCTCGTTGCCTATCGCCGTTACATAGACGACATATTTTTCATTTGGCAAGGGGACGAGACATCCCTGATATCTTTTTTGGACCATCTGAATAATAACGATTGGGGAATTAAATTAGTCTCGAATTATAGCAAGATTCTAGTGGAATTTCTGAACCTCCAAATTTATGTTGAGGATGCATGTTTGAAGACATGTACTTTTTT